TCTAAGATTTAGAGTTTACAAGCTGGTATGAAATAAATACAACATCTGTTCTAAAAATACATCAAAAGATTTATAAATCTAAAGCCACCAAGAAGAAGATGCAGCAATAATCAGAATGCAGGTACATCTTCAATCCCAGCTCCCGCCATACACAGCAACATCAGCTCCAAAATCTTCACGTAAGGTGCAGAAGTATAGTATAAGTACAACCGACCACATGTACTTAATAAGTAACAAACCTTACCTTAGGTTGAAAGTAGTGACAACCTTGAAAACCAGTCAGAGTCCAACACCAATAACCAAGAACAAATCGTAACAATATAATAAAAGCAGTACAAGTAATAACTCAAAGATATAATGCTCATCTCGTTTGCAGTTAAGGAAATTAGGCATGCTTTTCAGGTATAACAGTAAAACCCAAATCTTTCACCAAAATTACCAAAATATGAGAATATCATAAAACTTTGATTTTTCCCAAAAACTTTCAACAACATGTAAGACGTTTCATTATCAGATAGCATAGAAAAGTACATCTCTATGCCTACATGTCAATGTGCATGCGAAGCCATGAATGTCACAATACCGTTTAGCATGAAGAATGCATCTCTATGCATACATGCCAAGTATGCATGTCAAATGTAATGCATCACAGTGATGAACTCATGTACTCACACTCTTAGAGTACTCAATCTCACTGTCTCACACTCAATCACTCGGTACACTCAATCACTTGGCAATCGACACTCGGTACCTACACTCACTGCTGGTATGTCAGACTTCGGAGGGACGGATCCTGCCCATGCGCTAATATAAGCCAACATGGACTGTTGCAGCATGTAGCCCGATCCCATCAGGAATCAATAGAACCTGTTATGGCGTGCAACCTGATCTCATTATGAATCAATAAAACTTGTTGCGACGTGCAGCCCGATCCCATCATGAATCAATAAAGCCTATTGTGGCATACAGACTGATCCCATAAATATCACTCACAAATAAACCCTCGGCCTCAACTTAGACATCAATCTCTCTAGTCTCTTGGGCTCACAAGTCTCATGTCAATCATCCCAAATAATGATACACGATGTAACATTAAATGATAACAGAGACTGAGATACGATATGCAAATGAATGAATGTGACTGAGTATGTAATTGCAATTTAAACAAATAACTCAACAGCAAAAATAACCTTTATGGTTCCCAACAGAATAATCATTTAGCCTAAACATGATTTCTAATATGGATCACATCTCAATTACTCTAGCATGTAGAAATTTCATGGATAGAAACAAGATTTGGTAACTATACAGTATCATAGAATCAATCGAGTCATAATTCACGTGGTGTACACCAACAAGCCCATCACCTAGCATGTGTTTCACCTCAACACCAAACACATAACATGTATGTCCAGGGATTCATACCCTCAGCACCAAGTTTAGAGGTGTTACTTACCTCGAACAAATCGAATCCAATACCGAGCAAGCCAAACAATACTCTAGAAATGCCATCCCGCACGTATTGACCTCCGAACGGATCGAAACTAGCCAAACGCAAATTGAGAAAATCAAATAATGCCAAAAAAAATAAACCCAATCGATAAAGGTCAAATCTTTAATCAAACGCTCAAAGTTAACCAAAAAGTCAACAAAAGTCAATGTCAGGCCTACCTTGGATTCCGAATCCAAGCTTACCCGGGAAAATACCGAACCAATACAAGCTCACATGAACAAAAACTAACTCAATAGGATTCCTGTAGCTCAACCAATTCGCCAAAACACCGCTCTTGGGTGTTCATAACCCAAGAGTTCAACCCACACTAGTTAGATCTCATATCTCCCAAAATACTCCTCCAAAACTCGCCAAATTCGAGTATGTTATTCTCCTAATATAGGAGAACAAAACCCCAAAAGGAATCGAGAATAAATGTCTATAACCTATTTTTAATTTTGAAAATTTAGGACATAACTCTAGGTCTTGATTTAAAGAATTAAATGGGTTTTCAATTAAAATCATAGATTAAAGCTTAAACCAAGGGAATGAATCAAAAGGAAAATACTTAGGTTATAGTTTAGACTTTACCCCCATTGAAGAAACTTGAAGAACATCCTTGAATTTTTCCAATCCCAAACTTTTAAGATGAGAAAAACTCCAACAATAGTAATAACCAAATACGTCCAGTTGTTCTACCTCGTTTCTTGTGCTAAATGATTCCAAAACTCGCTTTTAATGCCTTCAATGGATTCCTCGTAAAACTCCAATCAAGTTAGGCTTTTGAACCACTTTATTTGACCTTATAATGAAGGAGATATGTTGATTTAAATATTTAAAAATAGTGCAAATTTTTAAATACGAATTCAGTGGTAATTTTCGTAATTAATTTGAAAAATCTAGCAACCCAATTCTTAGTAAAATGATCATAAATACCTTATACGATGTTGAAACTTGATGATTTCAGTTGCTATGGTACCAAAATTACGATACAGATATAATGATTTAGTCGAAATATGAATCAAAGACCGTTTTGGCAATATGGTAACATTTATGCTCAAATCGACGTCGAAGCCGAAAACAATCACCATACAACCCAAAGTTATCAAAAACTCCTCGAAATTTAACCAAACATTGTGGACATGTCCAAAATCATCATACAAACTTATTGGAATAATTAAAACCTGATTCCAAGTCCGTTTACCAAAAGTCAAACCTTGATTAACTCTTCTAATTACAACTTCTAAAACGAGAATTATTCTTCCAAATCAATCCCGAACCGCTCGAAAACCGAAACCTACCATACACGTAAGTCATAATACATAATATGAAGCTATTCAAAGTTTCAAACCACGAATAGGTTGCTAAAGCTCAAAACGACCGGTCGGGTCGTTACAGTTATTAAAGACCATAATTCACTAATAAACCTGAGTTTTATTTTTACTCACGCAATCTGAGTATCCAAAATCTATTGACCATACTAATTCAACTTCGGCTAAAAATGCTTATTGAAAAGGTAAATCTATGTTGGGCCATGCCCATATTGTCGAGCCAAAGGCCCAATGGGCTAATTCTATTCTATTTTAATTTTCATTCCTATTCGGAATTGAATTAAATTTTATTCCTATTTGGAGTTGCTTTTGGCTTTAAGAGAAAAAATTACTCTTATATGCTAAAGTCTTTTAAAGATTTATATAGTGGAGCTTTTTGAATCTTTGTGATCTTGTAGTTTTTACCTTCGATTTGAAAGGTTTTTCACGTTAAAATTTAGTGTTCTTTATCTTGTTTATATTTAGATTTGCCTCTTTTCTCGGCATAACAAGTGGTATTAGAGCGAGGTTCAAGACAGGTTCATCTAGGCGAGTTTAGTTATAGGCGCCACCTATTTGACGGTAATCATGATTTTTGTATGAGAAATTTGACCAAACGGTTTCTCACATTGAGATAAACTTTGTGGTGGAGATGTAACATGTTGAAGGTTACGTGACAAATGTGGATCAAGTTTATTTTTTCAGAAAATTCAAGGCAAGGGGGACATTTGTTAGATGTTTGTCCAGATTTTTTTACCATATTTGGTTTTCCTATCTCTTGAAGGAAAGGGAAATATATTTACCATAATTGAGTTTTCCTTTTCTTAGAAGGATACTATATATCTCTCATATTTAGCTAATCCTTTTTTTTAGGAGGAAAATGTTTAACGCTTTTATATATTGAAGATCATTCCTTCTTATTCAATAGCATCCACAATGTAGTCCTTAAGGAGTTTAAGAGTATTGTTTAGGCGGAGAATTTCGGGACAAGTGTTAGTTTATCACTTGTGTTTGCCTCTTTGTGAGGTTGTTCTCTCGATATTTTGTACTCTTTTTTCTATAGTGGATAGCTCATCCTTCGCCTGTGAACGTAGATCAAATAATCGAACCACGTTAATTATTTTTGTCTCTTTTGATATGTTTCTCTTTTGTTGTCTGATTTATCGTCGTTCAAGATTTGTTTTACTAGCTTACGCATGACACCTGATTATTTCGATCCTAACAATTTACATTACTATCAAGAAGTTCTTCATTTTCGAGGTTTAATTTTAGAAATTTCTAATTAATAGTAATTGACAAATTTCAATCTTTGTGCATACCAATTACAATTGAGCCCTTGAGAATGTAAGTGGGCATTTGAACATAAGAATTGTGAAATTTCGAAAAAAAGTAGAAAAAAATTCAAGTGAAATTGAAAACTATTTGAAAGTTAGAGTTTTGTTTGGACATGAATATAATTTGGAGCTATTTTTTTAAATTTTTATAAGTGATTTGAAGTGAAAATTATAAAAAATAGCCTTTTGGAGTTGTTAAGTAGGCGCTTGGCCATAAATTTTAAAGCTTTTTTTTCACAAAAATAAAATTCAAGTATGTGTTTGTTTATAAAATTAATCTAGTTTTTAGGAGATCTTGAAAACCAAAACTTCAAATCCCAAATATAGCTTAAGACCTCTTTTTGGGCCAAATCATGATCATTTGGAACTTTTCAGCTGGAAAAAAAACTTAACATGTCAAAACTTGCTCCAAAATTCATGTCCAAACACATTTTCAATTTCATATCAAACTTCATCTAAATCAAGTTTTTAAATAAATATTTGATAATCTATGTCCAAACGGGTCCTAAAATTTTCAAAAAACTCCGAAATTAAACTTTAAGTGAAATTTGAAATTTTCACAGTCAAACACTAATTTCAAAAAAAGTAAAAATTTTCCATAAAAAAGTGAAATTTTGTTATTGCCAAACAGCCCCTAAAACAGTCTTCATTTGTACACGTGGCAACCATGCAGAACGCGAGCACTGCTTATTCACCAATATATTTAGGTAGCTGATTAAAACCGCTCTTCCCTCTTATTTCTCTCCCTGCATCTCTAATTCAAATAGATACAACGCCATTCCCACGCCCAAAAGACTTCTGCTAAATAAAAACTCAACACATTCTCTCCCTCTCTTAGTTAATGCAACATTTTGCTTAATATCCATGGCAGACGAGAAGGATATTCCAAATCTTGACGTTCCAAAAAGTGACAATCTTGATTCCCAAAATGTTACTATCAGTATTGACAAGAGTCTATTGATCGATTTACAACAGCTTTCAATTGGACCTATTATCAGTGAAGCTCGTTATTCTGTGGTTTACCAAGGATTGTGAGTACCCCTTTTCTCTGATTGATTTCTACTTCTCTCAGTAGTTTCATTTTCTTGTTCTAGTAATCTTGCATTAATTTGTTGATTTGGGTTTTATCCGAATTTTCGTTCTTTGAATGGACTTGATCATTCTTGAATTGCCGGCCATATGAATCTGTTCCTTCTTATCTTTTGAGACTATTTTTCTGTCATTCTTGTTATATTTGTCTTTAGGGGCTAAATTATCTTTTAGTGCGTAATTCAGTTGCTATCTGTTTTGGGAATTAAGAATTGTTTCTATCTTCAAGTTAAGTGTGGTAAATGTTTTGGATTATTCAAAATTTTGTATGTAAGGTTGCTAATTGTCTGCATTATGCTTATTTCTTGATTAATTTATCATGTGATAATCTTCAAAACAGAAAAGAAAAGAAAAGAAAAGAGAAATTGTACAAACTGAAAGAAATGTCTGGTGCTTGTAGGAGAACATGTGAATTATGATACTGGAAAAAATTCTCTCTAGTATAGACTTTAGACTATATTACTTTAATAGAGCATCCTGGATTGTGTGTGGTGGTCAAATATAAAAATTCATTTTCTCATTTAAAAACAAGTTTTGCATTTATGAGCGTCAGAGTATAGCCAGTCCTAAAAGTGAATAAAAGAGAGATATTGTGAGATTATAATGAAGTTAATTGATGTTTTTCTAAAAGGTCTTGAGACTTGAGTCTCTCTGCTAAAGCAGGCAGTGTGACTCAAATGAAGAATTTAATATTGGAGTAGTCCTATGAAAGGGGAGTTATGGAATGTTCCTTAAATTGTAATGGATCCCATCTCTTAGAACTACAATGTATAACTTTGCAGCTGATATATTAGTTTTCTTAAGTACTTCCTCTATTCCATTTTATCTGACAACATTTGATTGATAATCTGACTTATGAATACTGAGTTAATAGTGGAAGAGAATATTAAAGTAGTAGTTCAAAAGTAAGGTTGATATGAATACTGAGGTCTCTTTCAACTGTTTAGCAGAATTTGCAGATATACTATCTGTTCTTTTATCCAAAGTGCTTAAAATCTGCTACTTCTCTCACTGAATTGATAATTGGTAATCTGATGGGATTTCAGTAGTAACAGGATGACATAAATGAAGCTACGCTGATACTTCTGCTAATATATGAAATCCGAGAATATACTCTTGCAAAGGTCTTTTGTACTGAAGTTCATATTAATTGCTGTTCTGAAGCACATTTTTTATTTCATGTTCCAGATATAAATCACAGCCTGTTGCGATAAAAGTAATACAGCCAGAGAAATGCTCAAATGTAAGTCCCGAGAGGAAGGTGAAATTTGAAAGGGAAATTACGATGCTATCTAGAGTGAAGCATGACAACATTATGAAGGTATGTGGTGTTAACAAGAAATGTGTTTACCTTAGTTTAGCTGGAGTCACTGCGAGTTTTTACTTAATCGAAGAGTCTAAATCAAGAAGGACATTGTTGACTTTGATGTTTAACATAGGAAAGACAATATAATCGATAGCTATGTGTTGTATGTAATCATATCAAATATAAAGACCTGTTCAATATAGAATGTAGCATAGAGTATTGGTGATTGGTTTCCTTTTTACCGGTTATGCTTATTTCATCTAATCCTTGCAGTTTATTGGTGTCTCCATGGAACCAGCTTTGATATTAGTCACGGAGTTAATGAAAGGGGACACACTTCAGAAGTACTTGTGGAGCATCCGACCACATTGTCCGGATTTGAACCTTTCTCTAAGTTTTGCATTGGGAATTTCTCGGGCAATGGAGTATTTGCATGCCATTGGCATCATTCACCGTGATCTGAAGCCAAGTATTCCGCCTTATCTCTCAGTTCTCTATTTCGCTTCAAGTTTTATGTTTACGTGACTGAAGTAAGTAGGCAGTAGTACATTGAACTTTTTCATTCTCAAAATCTGTCTCATTCATTTGTAGGTAATCTACTCCTCACAGAAGACAAGACAAGAATTAAACTAGCTGACTTTGGGTTAGCTAGGGTGGTGGCAGAAACTGAAATGACCGCAGAAGCTGGTACATATCGCTGGATGGCTCCTGAGGTATATTTTACATTGAGCTAAAAATTTTACTTCCTGCTTAAAATCATATCATATGCTTACCTTTTCGCCGATGCCAGTTATTGTACACAGAACCAGCTGATTATGGGGCAAAGAAACACTACAATCATAAAGTAGATGTCTACAGTTTCTCGATGGTTCTATGGGAGCTACTCACCAACGACACTCCATTCAAGGGAAAAACCGACATAATGGCAGCGGATGCTACAGCTAAAGTATGGTTCTGTACCTTAGAATATTACAGTTATAATCATTTTCCATTGTGTTGAAGTTTGACTATATGCTACTAGTATTAGTTTAAACGTTGGAGTTATATAGATGCTTGCTTGGTATTGAGGCGTAATTGTTGGTGTTTTCACTGAGGTAGAATATAATTTTCATTTCCTTGGTAAAATTCCAGAATTTAAGGCCTAGCACGGATAACATTCCTAAGGAGATTTTACCCCTCATTAGCTCCTGCTGGTCGGAGGATCCAGCAGATCGACCAGAATTTGCGCAAATATCAGATATCCTTGCAAACATCCTTGGCGACGCATATATCCCACAGATGATAACTCCAGATCTTGCTGAGGGGGAGCAACCTGATGCATATACTCCGCAAACCATAACTCCAAACCTCTCTGATGTAGGTCAATCCGCGAGCCAAGAGATTGCTAATTCTCCTGGCACCAGCAGTTTGATGGATAAGGGTGCGGAAAATAAGAAGAAGAAAAGCAAGAGTTGGTTATGCTGTTTCAAGAGTGGCTACAATGACAATCTCCAATAAATGCAGTAGCTTTTCACTGGTCAAGGTAAATATAGATAATTGATGCAAGATTACAAGATCCTGCCTCTGCCAATTTTGCTATAGTTAGGATAACGGAAAGTATAGAATACACCATCATTCTTGACATTGTACAGAAAGCATTAGCATAGCATCTTCAACACAATAGAAAATGAATAAGGACAAGAGTATAGCTAATATCAACTCAACAACTCGCTATCTTTTGCGTATGCATTTCCTGCTGTATTTCTGCAATTATACAAAACATAATACCACGTCTGAGTTTTGCATGATGTAGCTTTTAATATGTTATCAGTTATGTTCATGGGATTCCAAGCTATGTAATGTATCATAGCAGTATTTGCGTATGCCAACATCTAATAAGGCAGCGTGGTGCACTAAGCTCCCACTATGTGCGGGGTCCAGGGAAGGGCCGGACCACAAGGGTCTATTGTACATAGCTTTACCCTACATTTCTACTGTGAAATCCGCGTGCGTAGACACCTATTGTGTGAAAGATTGTTACCTGGTACCTATGTCTTGGTAATTCTTTTAGTATTGCTGAAGTGCTGGTAGGACCTCAAGTGAACATTGTCCAAGACTTTAGGATCTCTACAATTAAAGATTAATGCAACTTTTCAGACCACTTATCTGAAGTTCAATCTAGTATTTGTACCCGTTACTTACTTGACTTAATCTAAAATTAGGACATCCATTGTTCTTTAAGCTCTTAATCTGACTTATGATTCAACTCCAAACGTTCACCATAACTTTTATGAATTGAGCATTCAACACAATATCAAATGGCCCATGATCCAAGTAGCCAACTGCCTATAATCAATTTAATTGACTAATATTATAAAGGGAATTAACATCCTGAAAAATAAAACATGTACTAACTTTTATGTGAATATTCTTTAATTTTAAATTTTTCATTTTAACTAAATGACATACTCTTATAATTACAAAAATATCATGACATGTTTACTATAAATTTTAGAGTAGTTTTAACGTTACCAAAAGTCTTTTACTTACTTATTAATATCCTTACCAATCAAACAGCATCATATATATATAAATGAAACGAAAGAAATACTACATTTGAGAGTGAAATTCTTGTATTTGTTAATAATTTAAAAGCAATTCTCCAAGGGTTTGCTGATACCTGATCAAGAGCACTTTTTACAACTGAATTAAAAAGAGTAGTATTATCAGCCCGTTTATAACTAAATAAATATAAAAACACATATAATTGATATTAACTAATTTAGAATTAATGCATAGTTAATTACCAGCGAAACTTCAATATCAAATGCCCTGCCCAAAAAAAATGGAAAAGAAATTATTATGAGTTGGTGTGGGTGATAAGTGAAGGAAATTTGCGGACCCATAAACATGGCTAATTTCAAATTGTGCAACCAAAGAGCAACATTATCATCTATTCTTTAGTTTAACCCCGTAAGGTAGAGATGATTATTTTCTATAATTCTGATCATTTCTGTTTGTCTTCAAAAATCATTACTTCCCCTGTCCAATCATCTATGCTAGTACTTTTCTGCTTTTATGCTACTCCAATAGGCAATTCTTAAGTGTAAATTGCCCCTTTTCTTTTTCTATTTTCTTGAGGAGAGAGGAGGGGTTGAGATGGAAGGACAGAAATAATCTTGAGATAAAAATTTTGTAGCGCTTTATTCCTTGTTTGGTTATTAATCTTGGGATAAGTTATCCTGGGATATAAAATAGTACCGGAATAACTTATACCCATCAGAGGGTGGAATAGCAATCTCATGATAAGTTATCCTAGGATAAAGCAGTAAAATTGACAATTCCGGGATTAATAAACATACCAAACAATCAAGAAGAATTAATATTAGGATAACTAATCTCAACATAATTAATTTTAGTATAACTAATTCCAGTGTAACTTGTCTTCAAACCAAGCCCACTCGGTGCTCGAATTATATAATTAGTAAATAATTAACTATGCTGAGCTTGAATTATTATCACCAAAAAAGTACTACTGAATGTAGTAATTAATATTTCGAAGCTAACGACGAAATACCCTTGATTCTATCAGGAATTGTCATAGTAAAATGAAAGAGTGATAGGCTGATAGCATAGGGATTCAATGAAGAGAATTATAAAAGATCACGATTCAACTTTCATTAGAGAAAAGAAAACTAGATTTGTAAGTTTTTTCTTTTTTAGAAAAGAAAAAAAAAGAGGGTGATTGCAAAAAAAATCTTTTATTTTGTCGAAAATGAGCTGAATCAACATTTCCGCCAAAACAACATGTAAGTGACCAAAAAAGATCTCCAAATTACTGATCCGTATTTTGTGGGTCTATAACTTTGTAGTTTGTGAGTAAAATCAGCTTCTTCATAGCGTCAATGTTACTTACATTTACTTGTATACGATCGAAACTGAATTCGCCTATTTTGTTACCAATATGGGACCAATTAATTAAAAAAAAAAAGAATAAAGAAAAGATAATATCAAGTGGTGCAATTGGTTTTCACAAACGCAGACTTGAAAACTAACTTGGTAACAAGATCTTCAACTTGCAAATGCAAATTGCAAAGAGAAAACATTCTGATTGGTTGCAAGGTACAACAGCTTATACTATAAATAGGAGTATCCGTTCTTCATTTCAAGTACACCAAAATCAGAGAGCGCAATGGAGCGTAGAAAGAATAATCCACAGATTGTAGTCTGTGAGATAAATAGTGAGTGAGTAATATTGTAGTGATGTGTTTAAAATAAAGAGTGTTATTTCTTTCGAAATTGTAGTAGTCTCTTGATACTATCAAGTTGTAATATTATAGTGAAAATCTTCCTCCCCTCGGGTATTGTATTTTACCCCGTTAAAAGATTTGGTGTCTTTGTTACTCTCTTGTGTTATTGTGATTTATCGTGGATATTATTCCTAGGCGGGATATTATTTTTTTCCCAACAATATGGTATCAGAGCCATGACGAATAATGGTCCGCTATCTTTTCTGTATCCCCGTCTCACAAAATATAATTATGAAAAATGGTGTCTACGTATGAAAGTCATTCTTGACTCCCAGGATGTGTGGGAAATCGTAGACAGAGGATATGCAATCGGATAATGAGGAAGCTCTACCTTAAAATGAAAAAGATGTCTTGACAAAGACAAGGAAAAAGGATCAACAAGCCCTCACGCTCATCCACCAATGTTTGGATGATGTCATGTTTGAGAAGGTGGCAGATGCTACCACCTCAAAGGAAGCTTGGGAGATTTTAAAAAAATTCTCTCCAAGGAGTTGACAAGGTGAGGAAGGTAAAACTTCAAACTCTAAGGGCTGATTTTGAAGTTTTAAAAATGAAAGAATCTGAATGCATTTCGGATTATTGTTAAAAAATGAGGGTTGTTGTAAATCAACTAAGAAGATATGGGGAGGACATAGAAGATGTCCATGTGGTAGAAAAGATCCTCCGCACTTTAACACCTAAATTTGATTTTGTGGTGTGTGCTATTGAAGAGTCTAAAGATTTAGACTCTATGACGGTGGAGCAACTGGAGGGTTCTTTACAGGCCCATGAAGAAAAGATCAAAAGAAGACAAAAAGTGTCATTGGAGCAACTTCTTAAAACTCAGGCATCCTTCAAGGATTATGAAGGTGAAAAAAGCTATCGAGGAAACACACGAGGCCGGGGCTGTGACGGTCATGGAAGAGGAAGAATTAACGGTAATAACTTTAACAATGAAGTTAAAATGCACCAAACATTCAGATATCGTGGTCGTGGACAAAGAGGAGGAAGAGGACGTGGATGCTACCAAGAAAATAATGGACAAAGGTATGAAAAATCAAAAATTAAGTGTTATAATTGTCATAAATTTGGCCATTACTCTTGGGAATGTCGTAGCAATGTTGAAGAAAAAGATAACCTTGTTGACGACAAGAAAGAAGAAGTTGAGTCAACGTTGTTGATGGCACTCAAGGAAGAAGACAGAGATGATTGCAGCTCGTGGTATTTGGACAATGGAGCAAGCAATCATATGTGTGGATGCAAAGAGAAGTTTATAGAGATCAATAAAATGGTGAGAGGTAATGTGGAGATACCTCAAAGATTCAAATCGAAGGGATAGATACAATTCTGATCTCATGTAAAGATGGTAGTCACAAGTTAATTCAAGATGTTTATTATATGCCAAATTAAAAAGTAATATTTTGAGTTTGGGCCAACTTCTTGAAAAGGAATATGACATCCAGATGAAAAATATGCATCTTTGGCTTAGAGATTCAAGTGGAATTCTAATTGCTAAAGTGTATGGCAAGAACTAGATTATTTTCTTTGAATCTTAAGACAATTGATGCAAAGTGTTTGAAGGATAATGTGCAAGATGAATCATGGTGTTGGCACATGCGATTTGGGCACAAGAATTTTGAAGCACTCAAAACAATGGGAGAAAAGAATATGGTACATGGGATACCATCAATCAACCATCCCAATCAATTGTGTGAAGCTTGTCTTCTTGGAAAACATGCAAGGAGGAGTTTTCCAAAGGAGGCCATGTCAAGATCAACCAAACCGCTTCAGCTTGTCCACACTGATGTGTGTGGACCAATCAATCCACCTTCCTTTGGTAAAAGTAAATACTTTCTGCTCTTCATTGATAACTTTAGTAGAAAGACTTGAGTTTATTTCTTGAACCAAAAATCTGAAGCTTTTGCTGCTTTTAAAAATTTCAAAGTACTTGTGGAGAAAGAAAGTGGCTATGAAATTAAAGCTTTAAGGTCCGATAGAGGAGGCGAATTCACTTCAAAAGAATTTAATGACTTCTGTCAATCTCATGGAATTCGTCGCCCTCTAACGGTACCTTATTCACCCCAATAAAATGGAGTTGCAGAGAGAAAGAATTGAACAATTCTTAATATGGCTAGATGTATGTTGAAAGCTAAAAGTATACCCAAGAAATTTTGGGTCGAAGCTGTTTCTTGTGCAGTTTATTTAAACAATAGGTCTCCCACAAGGAAT